CCCCCACCAATCAATCAATCTGCAATAACTCGTGTGCAGCAAGGGCTGTACGGGGCTCAGACCCGCCCCAGGCCAAGCATAACTTTACTGTTCTGCATTGGGCTGTGTGACCAGGCACTGCCCAGGCCACAGACCGCTGCGTCCGGCTGTGAGACAGAACGCTGCGTGTGGAAATTCAAAGGTCAAAGTCCACTGTAGAGTCAAAGGTACCAGACCCTGGCCCTTGTCTGGATACACTCAGTTGCGGTGTGCAGGTACCAAGAAAGCATCCAGGCCGAAGAGGATTCCGTTTCAGAATAATCTGAGCCCTCGTCCGTATTGAGATCTGGACGACTGAGGGAGGCAGCATCCGGGGCCTTGCCCCCGAGTCAACAATATATAAGGGCTGACTTCCCAGCATTGACATTCATCCAGTCTTGCGTCAATGCTGACTTCTGCTTTGACGACAACGCTGGCTCTATGCTGCAACACTGACTGGACGCTGGTTTTTGGCTTGCACTTGCGAGATACAGCGGCGCGCTGCTTGCCAGGCATGGTGGCTGGCTTGCTCTTGTCTACTTGGTATGCTGACGTGGCAGCTGCCACGCGTTGCTGCTGACGTGGCCGCTGCCACGTGTATCAGATGCTGATGTGGCGGCTACATTGGAGAGATACAACTGTTCTGATTCGTCGTAATCAGGAGGGGATCATGACTGTGGGAGGATCAGAGATACGTACCTGTTTATCTTGAGGTTGACGATGCTCCAGCGCTGATGATAGACTTATTGACGTACCACGTGGCACATTGAGGAGAACTTCAGATATCGTTCGGATCATTGTTGCTGAGGTGGCGACATTGGGGAGAGAGCCCGCAGAAGAAGAGGGCGCTGTATTCTTTTCCAACCTCTAAGTCTCTCTTCCCAACCTCTTGCTCATTCGTCTGTGTATGATTATCCATCTCTTTGTATCTGGTCACGATTTCAACTATTGATATTTCATCAATTGGTTGACGACTTGTGGACTTGCATTATCAACGAGTGTCATCACGACTTGGGTTCATTACAAATCAATCAATCAATCAATCAACTAAAAAAAAATTAAAAAAAATTAAAAAAAACAACGAAAAAAGCAGCTTTCAAATCCCGCGCAAGTGTGTGTGGGCGTGTGTGTGTGTGTGTGTGTGTGTGTGTGTGTGTGTGTGTGTACGTGT